AGATACACACAGTGATTGTTTTCTGAGACTGATTCTCCAACCATGCATGGATATAATCTAGACCTCTGCTCGGACGTAGCCCATGGCAACTCAATATCCAAGTGGGTTCCCTAGTAAGGGGAACAGGGACTGTCTCTGACATGAACTCAGTGGCTGGCTCTTTGACCTCCCCACCCCCGAGGGAGGAGCATCCTTGCTAGGCCACAGAGGAGGACATTGCAGCCAGTCCTGAAGAGACCTGATAAGCTAGGGTCAGATGGAAGGGGAGGAGGACCTCCCCATTAGTGGACTTGGAGAGGGGCAGGGAGATGAGGGAGAGAGGATGGGAGGGAATGAAGGAGGGGGCTACAGCTGGGATACAAAGTAAATAAACTGTAATTAATATAAAAAATAAAAATTTAATATAAAAAAGATACACAGCAGCATATCAGGTGGTGCCTGTAACTCTAGCTCTAGGAGATCCGACCCCTTCAGGCATCTGCACTCATACGCACTTACCACACACATGCACACGTAATTAAAAACAAAATGTGGTAAAAAAGGAGAGGAAAAAAAAAAAAAGGTGCAAAAGGTGCACCGGATTGTGTGCAGTGGTAATTCCGTATCTGGGAAGGTGGAGACGGACAGTCGCCAAAGCCAACTGGTCCACCAGGCTAGCTTACTTGTTGAGCTTCCAGGCCAGTGAAAACAGAAAAACAAAACACCAGGTGGAGAATGGTGCCTAGGGAGCCACACTCGATGCTGTCCTCTGGCCTCTGCGTGTGCACACCCACGCATATGAGATCCCACTCTTCCACACACACATGCCTGTGTGTACCCTCCCCCCCCCCCACAAAAGATAGTTGATTTGTAATCTTAGAGAAGTGCATAGACATCTTGTGCTATCATGTATTTGGTTTCCTAAAGAGATAAATATTTTTAGCATATTAAAGAAACTGTCACAGAACAGTACACATTTTAGTTGAGCCTGTCACCTATTTTCAATGTGTGAAGTAGAGGTTAATCCATCACAGGGTTCCTTCATAACTAATTTCCTTCAGTGCTTTTTAAAACACTGAATTTTTTTTTAAACCACTCATGCAACGACATGATCACTAGTGGGCGCTAAGAGCACACTTATTTGGCCCAACGTTCCCAACTTGAGCTTTTTGATGTTTGCTAGCAAGCATTGGCTCTGAGTTGACCGAGCTCTAGCAGAATGGCCTTCATTTTCACCAGCCAATTTCAAGTGTAACAGTTAGGAGAACATTTAACACAGCTGTTTCCTTTTCCACACACATCTGTGGTTTAGTACACTCATCTGTCCTCTAAACACTCCCTCTCAAATGCCTCCCAGTAAGAATAAAAAATTTCATACTGAATATAACATTGGGTTTACAGTCAGAAAGCAGAAGCTCAGGTCTCCTCTGGAACTTTCTAGTTCTGTGTTATACTGTGGGGAGGGGGAGAGGTGACAGGTCAGAGTTCCTAAGAGAAAGCGACCCGAGGTGGGATAGTGGGAACCCACTGGTGACACTGTCTGGGTGTGGTTGGGCTCTGAGCCTCACCATCACACCGAAGGGTGCCTGAGATGGTGTGGGGCTCAGAACGTTGGTTTATTGAGCTGTATTATGTGGAAAGTCGACTCCTGATGGCAGGGGAGATTTGAGATGCAGTCACAGCAAATAATGTGGGAGCGACCCCATGACAAATAAAATACAGCGGGGGGGGGGGGGGGGAAAACAGTACACAAGGGAGCTGTTGGGCCCCAGAGCCCTAGAGCCTTGCTGTGGAACTACATCCTTGGTGCCTGTGGCCCATGCTGCCATGTCCCACGGATAGTGAAGGGTTCTCAGGTCTCTGTGCTTCAGTGGCTGCGTGGCTTCCTTGGGAGTAGATAATCTTTTTGCTCAGGGCTTATTCATCGAGGTTTTATCTCTGCCGGACTCCCTCAGATAGTGTCCATGTGTATATGTCATAGAACATAATGGAGAATTTAGTGTCTTGTCTCTTAAATGCAGCTCACGTTTTCTATTGACGTGTGGTCCCTTAAACATAATACCCCTAGTGGGAAATCCACTCTTCCCATTCCCAAGAGAAGGTCATGAGAGTCACAGCGGTGAAGGAGTGGATGGAGGAGGAATGTGTACCCTGGGTGTAGCCTTCCAAGACAGAAATTCTGACAGTTTAGCAAGTCATTTTACTACTTTGTGCCTGACTTCCCAAATTAGGCTTTGCAAACACGTGTGTGTGTGTGTGTGTGTGTGTGTATGTGTGTGTGTGTCTGTGTCTATGTGGGTGTGTGTGTCTGCCTGTGTGAATGTGTGTGTTTGATTGTGTATATATGTGTGTGTGTGTGGGTGTGAGCATATGTGTGAGTGTGTGTGTCTGCATGTGAGTGTGTGTATTTATGTGTGTGGGTGTGTAACCTGTGCTCAGTTCCGATTGGCTGGGGTGTCATGTGGAGAACATTAATTCTAATGGAGTCCCCAAAATGTAAATTTCTTAACTAGTTTTACAATGGATTGATGGTGCTTGGGGTTTTTATATTTTATATTGTACTTAGCACAGAGCTAGTTTTGGATGTTAAAGAAAATACCAACATCCAGATTGATAGACCTTATGAGGAAATAGTCTATGGAGTTGATGATTCATTCAAAAAGGGGGTTTATTCCTACAAAACTGTTTGAACAAATGCTCACCTTACATGAGGGCAAGAAGAATGCAAAAGCAGGAGTTCTGAGCTCCAGACCATAATGTGGTAGTCAGGTTTACTGAGTCCTCGTACCACATCTTTTAGCTCTGCGCGTGGAGTGACTCACATACCCATAAAGAGCACTCTAAGGTAGACCCCACGTTCCCCCCCACTTTACAGACGGGAGGAGGGCCAGGGACATTGAGCAAGGCTGGTGAGATGGCTTAGCGGGCAAAGGCACCTGTCTTCAAGCCTGACGACCTCACTTTGATTCTCGGGGCACACCACACACACACACACACACACACACAAACACACAATCATGCACACACAAAATAAATAAATCAAGGTGTAATAAAAAGATGCATGATATTCTCAAGGAATGAATGAACATATTATTATTATTATTATTATTATTATTATTATTATTATTATTATACAGAGTTTTTTTTTCCTTGTAACAGGTCTGGCTGTCCTGGAACGCACTCTGTAGTCCAGGCTGGCTTTGAACTCACAGAGATCCGCCTGCCTCTACCTCCTGAGTGCTGGCATTAAAGGTGTGTGCGACCACTGCCTGGCTAACTATTATGTTCTTTTAAAAATAAGAAAAATCAATGTGAAATGTTTTGATCCATAGCCAGGAGCGGAGCCAGGACTCGAATGGTGCAGCCTGGTCTGGGTAGCACCAGTGACTGAGGCTGTCAGCAGAACCAGCTCTGTATCACGAGAGCTGTGTGAGTTATTAGCTCACAACAACACCGATGAACTGTTTGCCATTCTCACTGCAAAGCGCAGAACCCTTGGGTCACACAGGCTAAGTGACATCCTGCTTGTGTCCTTGATCAAAGGCAGCCTTCCCCAGAAGCCTAGGTGACTTGCAGTGATGTGGTTAAGCTCAACCCCAATGGTGCGCTATTGGTGTCTGAGGCTTCAGAATGCTGTGTTTTCCGAAATCTTTCACCATTTTAAATTGAATAAATGACGAGCGGGAAGCGGCCCAGGTGACTACATCAAGAGTACGTTAAGATTAAGATACGTAGTAAGATGATCAGATACTTTCAAGGCTTAAAACTGCGCTAGCCTGAAGTTGTAGCTCAGTGGTAGGGCCCTTGCCTGGCATGCTCAGGTCCTTGGGTTCATTCCCAGTACCTTCCTCCACCCAAGGGCACATAACAAGCCTTATCAGAATGCTTGGAGGGGAGAGGGCGGCCAGGTTGCTGTTGCCCATGGCTTCTGCTTCCCACTCAGTCCCGGCTGGCTGTGTTCTCAGTGGAGAACAGAGGCTATCTCATTCACAGTGATCTGGGCGCAGTGCCTCCCTCCTAATGTATCACAAGTGGAACACCAGGCCCTTTAGGAACATTCGGAAAGTGATAACCAGGCTGGGTTCCCAGGAACGGTCAGGGACAGGGATGAGATGGGGCTCACGGATTCTAGTCTCCCTCTTAGCTGTGTGGACTTGAGGAGCTCGTCCTTTTGGGGGCTGTTTCTTCTGTGTAGAATCGACAGTTGTTCCCACTACAGAGCGTGGAGGATTCAATAAGCTATACTATAAAATCACACGTACATAGTTAAATATCGATAACAATACCACAAGTAGCTGCTGGCACCATTATTGTGACCACAGCTAACTCCGCTGGTTTGCCACCAGGGCAAAGTATCTTCATTATGTTATTTGTTTCTTGTGGAGTGCCTGTGTGCGCGCGCCCGCGTGTGTGTACACACAGTGTGCACTAGGAGGATGTTCCGTGTCCTTTGTCACCATCCACCTTATTCTCTTGAGACAGGGAACAGCACTGAACCTGGAGGTAGGGTAGCAGCCAGCAAAAACAGAAATCCTTCTGTCTTAGTCAACAGCACTGGGGGGACAGACATGCTGGGGCCACGCCAGGCCTTTTATTGGGTGCTGTGGATGGGGATTCAGGTTCTGAATGGTGTCTCCTTTTCTCCTTAGGGTCATAGGAAACTCTGCCGGATGCCCTTGGCAGTTTTAACAGCTGAGAAGGGGAGTGAGCGGGAAGTGGGTAGAAGTTGAGACGGGAGACCCAGACACGGAGACAAGAGAGAGGTCTTAAGAAGAGAGGCTGCGTTTTGCAAATCCCGCAGGTCTCCATCGGGATGGGGTTAATTAACTTTCCTGCGCGGTCCGGGCGTCACCGACCCCCTGCTGCCGGCTCTTGGTCCCCCCTGCTTCCTTCCACACCCCCGCTCCGGAGCCCGGCCGGCGATTGGCTGGCTTGGCCCGGGGCTGTCGCGGATTGGCGCTTGCTGGCCCGGGCCACCGAGTTTAAAGAGGGGGCGGGGGCGCGCTGCCCAGCCGCGCTGCTGTCCCCTCCAGGCGCACCTGTCCCCGCTGCACGCTCGCAACCTCTCACCCTCCGCGGAGGAGTTTCCCCGGAGCCAGGGCCGCGGAGAGCAAGGCCAGGGCGGGCTCTGTCGAGGCGGGCGCAGGGGGGCACAGTCCGCGAGGGTCCAGCCGCGCGGACGTCGCTGTGGGCACCATGGTAGCCACTTGCCTGCAAGTGGTGGGCTTCGTCACGAGCTTCGTGGGCTGGATTGGCATCATCGTCACCACGTCCACCAACGACTGGGTGGTGACCTGCAGTTACACCATCCCCACCTGCCGAAAGATGGACGAGCTGGGATCCAAGGGTCTGTGGGCCGACTGTGTCATGGCCACCGGCCTCTACCACTGCAAGCCTCTGGTGGACATCCTCATCCTCCCGGGTAAGGACGCAGAGCTTGCAAGCAGCTCCCAGAGGCAGGATGGGCCGGAAATGGGGGTTTTAGACGGGGTTCTCCGAAGTCTGGGCACTCAGAGGCTTCTTGGGTACATTTTTGGCATCTCAAATCCCTGCCTAAAAAAAAAAAAAAAAAACCACCTGTCAGCTCCAGTTTCTTCACCTGGAACATGAGATGATTACGGCAATTTGGCCACTGGTAACACTGATCAATGGCTTTGATAATTTAACCAATCGAATCCTATACGCATGGTAGAAACTTATTAAATCCCATCGCTTCATCATCCCAGGTTCCCAAGCCAATGGACCACAAATGGTGCAGTTCTGGCCCGTGCCTTCTCCGATGGGCTTCAGATTAGGTCAGTCTGTAGAACTGAGGAGGAAAGAGCAAAGTAAGAGCGATCTGGTATCTCAAGTGGGTTTAGGGTGGGTTTCTAGACTGCGGTGCTCCAGAGGCGTTCAGGTGAGGCTAGGCTGATGTTCAAGGACTCTCTGGACTGCCCTGATTAGTGACTCCCAGTTGGTTCTCTCGGCCTTATCTGACCTGCTGCCACCCCTATCTTTCGCCCAGAGATCCCTTAACAGCAGGCTGCATGACACCCCTTCCCTGCTAGGGTGACACGCTTCCCCAGTTGCACCCAGCAGGCTACTGGGTTTTGGGAAAAATCAGTACCCTGAGAAGGAAAGGCCGCCAGGGAGACACAGGTCAGTTCGAGGCTCCTTGCGTGTGTGTTGGAGGGTGCCTGGGGTGGGGGTGGCGTGGGGGTGGTGGCGAGCCTCTGAAACACTGGGTGAGGGAGTTTGGGAAGGAGCATCTTTCTATGGGGAAGTCTGTGGAAACAGTTTTAACAGAGGACTTGGGCTGCTGTGAGCACCACTTGTATATTTCTGCTAGAACTCTGTCATGCCCTGCGGCTTTACTGTCACCTGGGTCAGGTTGTCTAAGTCCCTCTGGCCTTGGGTGATGTATGTATTCAAGGGCATAGTCAGACCCTTACATGAGGAGAAATCAGCCCTAAAGCTACTGGTCTGACAACAGCCAAATTTGTACATTCTCCAGGGAAAATATTTGGCTTTCTAGAGACCTGTGAAGAGCCTCAAGCGCCCCCTACTTTCCAGACAGGGCATTTGGAATTCACCTCCCTCCATCCAGCTCACTGCTTGCTGACTTCTTTATCCCAGGATGCGGTATTGGGAATTGAGCCCAGGCGCTTTGTTCATGTTAGGTGAGCTTTCTACAGACTGAGCCATATTCCCACCCACACGACATTTTAAGTTCTCTTTGCGTTCTCTCTTGGTCCATACCTTGCCTCTACCACATTGTAGGAGGGCACAGTGCTACCCCGTTCTCCATTTGGACGTTCAGAAGGCCAGGCATTAGGGAACCCCGGTGTGGACTCAGCATCAGTTAACGCTGGCTTTGGTAGACCTGAGTCAGACTCCGGGACCCAGCACTTACCATCTGGGTTGTCTGGGGCGAGTTGCTCACCTCAGGAAGCCCTAGCAGCTTTCGGTAAAGAACGTAAACCAGGTATCTTCCGGGATTGCTTATGGGAGCCAGTGAGACAAGAAACGAAGTCCCGCTTTGAAGTAAAGATGTTCTAGAAAGGGCAGATGCCATTTTCTAGTAACAGCTGGGCTTGGCTGTAGCAATTTCTCACTGATGTATAAAATCCTTTTGTTTCCTTCCCCTGAAATTACATTTCCTGAGTGCTGCATGCCAAATGGTTTGTTTTCAGAACACACAGGCCATGCTGGGAGGGGGCAGGGAGTATATTTTGTGGAGAAATTTATTGTTCCGCATCCCCAACCTTACCCAGAGGGTGGGAGGGGCACCCCTCTGTCCCCATCTTCCGATTTCTAGACGAGGTGTTGGTGCGGGAGCTCGTGGACAGCCTCGTGCCATAAATTTCAGAGCATCAGTTTGAGTTGACTGCTGCCTTTGTGTGGGCCCTGGATGCAAGGGAGGCAGGCGCTGGGCTCAGACTCTGGGGCTCCTCCCAGGGGTCCACAAGTCTATGATAACTGATAGGTTATCTCATTCTTATGATGAGATGGGCAGCGGTTGGAAGAGAGCCCATGTGGCCTGCCCTGCAAAGGGGCAGTGTTTATGCTGCGTGTTGGCATACAGGGAGGTTGGCTGGGTCTGACACGGGGGTCGTGGTACGTGGGAAAGAGTTAGGGTCAGTTCTTGGCCTCCACGGGGCCTCTAGCTTTACCTCTGCCTATGCAAACAAAACAGACAACCGTCATTCATAAATGGGACATTTAAAAAAAAAAAAGGAGAGTGGTTTTAATGAGAAGGAATAAATAACGTGAAGGTGAAACAGTAAACTTAAATCTGTGAAATTCTCTTGGAATCTGTTCAGGTTCATCTTACATGAAATTGTGCATATTATAATCTGAATCTTCATAATGTTCTCAATTAGCTTTTTTATTTGGCAGTATAGAGTTGATACCTTTGTTCTACATCTCTCAACTCATATTTTCCTCCATTGATAGTTATGTCAGCTGTTGTGGGGGCATGAAGACCAAGACAGGAATCTACTCAAAGGAATCCCCAGGGCTAGAGATACACCTTTTAAACATTGACAGAGCAGGGGGAGAAACATGCCCAAGCACCATTCATGAAGCAGGAGGTAGAAGCTGACCACCTGAGGGGATAGGAAACCAGAGGACAGCAGCCTCTTGGGAGGAAGGAGAGAGAGAGGGAACCATAGTCTTAGCTTACACTGTAGTTCAGGGCTACAGATAGTCACACCCAGCATGAACTGAGGATAAAATCAGTACTCTGGAGATAGCAGTACCACCCCAGGCTCAGTGTGGTGCCTCATGCCTATAATCCCAGCACCGGGGAGGCTGAGGCAGGAGGATCATAAGCCTGAGAATTGCCTGGACAGAGCAATATTGCCAGTACTATTTGCTACTAATTTTTTTCACTCCTTAGCATAGAACGTTTTCTAAAGACTCTCTGACTTGTGAACTTGATGGCCGGTAGAATTCTACTTGGAAGGTGGAGACGATCTAGTCTTATCACTCTGCAGGTGAGGAAAGTGATGCAGTCAGTAACTGACGTGCTGGGGTTGCACCGGCCATCATGTCGCAGCAGACTGGAATCAACAACCCAACATCACAGCTGACCTTTCCGAACACTTGGATTTCTAGGGGAATCTTTACCAAGGTGTTATAGGTCAGTGCCTGGTGGCTCTACTGTGGCCATGTGGTTTGATCTTCACCCTGGGTCTGTCTCTCTAGCACTCTCCCTGAGTTGAAGGTGTGATCTTGGATATTTATCACGTTTGAAGTCGTTCAGGGGACAACAAGAAGGAGGACGGTGGTGTTGAAATCCTGAGAGGGGGGACTCAGGAGCAAGAGGACCCCCGCCCTCTAATCCAAGTCTAACCCTGCCTCTCTGCTCTCTTGTCCCCAGGCTATGTGCAGGCTTGTAGAGCCCTCATGATTGCTGCTTCAGTTCTGGGTCTGCCGGCCATCTTGCTGTTACTGACAGTTCTCCCCTGCATCCGAATGGGCCACGAACCTGGAGTGGCCAAGTACAGGCGAGCGCAGCTGGCCGGGGTGCTTCTTATTCTGCTGGGTAAGCTTTCTCTTTGGCACCCCAATTCCACTGAGGGTGAAGAACCTCCGCTCTTGCAGTTGCTACTTCAAGAGAAATGTGAAAAGGAGTCAAGCGAATCCAGCGGGCAGCAGCAACTCACAATCTAGATGCCTTTAGATCGTATTCCAGAGGAAGTTTCGACAGGATTCCAAGTTAGATCTGTGCAAGGAGCTGATAGGTTAATAAGAAAACGACTACCCGAGGAAGACCTGAAGGAAGTGGGTCATGGGGCGGCTCTTTAAGCAGGCTTCACAGTAAAATCAGTTTAGTATGGCTTCTACTCAGACTTCACAGCAGATCAATTGAACTGGAGTTTTCCAAAGATCAGGTCAGAAAAAAATATTTTTAGGAGGCTCCCAGGGAGATTCTCATTGCAGTAAGAAATGAGAGCCTTGTTAATAAGTAATGAAAGGTCAGCAAGAGAGGAGCACAGAGGGAAGGCATGGAGGGTGGTAGACCAGTAGGTGATGGATCAATGGTTTTGTTCAGTAAGTGTTCATTGATCGGGTATAACAGTTTCTGTGGTAGTAACAGGGACCCCGACGGAGAAAAGGAATGTCTACTTTGAGTGCATATAGACACTCCAAGATATGGCCTGGGGTCACCTTAAAAAGGCCTGTGTGCAGTAAACAGGAGGGAAGGCAGCTAAGTCACAGTGAAGGGGTTTCCCAGAGCACAGGAATCCAGGGACCAGAGAGCAGAAGGGAAGGTGACCGGTCAGTGACTGGAGGGAGGAGCAATCTAGGCTGAGGAAGTGGTGCGTGTTCATTCAGTTTCGCTGAACCTACGTGAACACAGTAGCTTGAATTAACTTCCTGCCGAGGGTCTTGTCTCCTGTACTGCAAAAATAAACACTGGCAAAGTGAAGCAACTGTGTAATCTTAGCCCTTACAAAGTGAAGGCAGGATCAAGGTCATACTCTTGGCTAACGAGGATAGCCTGGGGTACATAGGACCTTGTCTTAAAAAAAAATTTTTTTTTTCCTGACCTTTCACATAACTGTTCCAGAACACCTCCAAGTGAGAAAGCACGTTAAAATAGCTGCAAACAAGCCTGTGGGAAGGAGAGAGATGAGTGGACTCTATTAATGCTCACCGTGGTTTCTGCTTTTTGGGGGTGGCGCTGACACAATGTGTGGTTTGAAACTTCCCAGATGAATTGACTTTTCTTTATCTTTATCATTATTATTATTATTTTAAACAGGGTTTCTCTGTGTGGTTCTGGCTGTCCCAAAAGTTGCTCTGTAGATCAGGCTGGCCTTGAACTCAGAGATTCACCTGCCTCTGCTTCCAGAGTGCTGGGATTAAAGGCTTTCATCGCCATGCCTGGCTGGTTTTTTCTTTGTCTTATTACTATGTTGTTTTTTTTTTAAACATATGTCTATGTGTGTGTGCACATGCACGGAGGACAGTGGGTTTTCACCTTCCACCGAGTGTGACCTGGAGAACAAACTCAGGCTCCCGGCCTTGACAGCAAGCACCTTTACCCACCGAGCTCTCATACTGGCCCAAGTTTTTCTTTATCTTTTTAAGGTGGCTTGTATAGGTGAACTGTTTGAGGGCTGAGGAAAGTGAGGCAGGACTGGGCATCGCTCGGTCCCTGTTTGTCTGTCTCCACCCAATCTGTGGAGAAGAAGAAATCTGAGCCTGAGGGAGCTCTGGGCATCAACTCGGTGCCAGAGCAGGGGCCTGCGGCAGTTCCAGATTCACATTTTCTCTGCTGCCCTCCTTTTCTTTTGATTGCTGTCAGATTTCTCTCTCGGCAGGTCTCTGCTTGTCCCTGGGTTTCATGTTGTTTTGACTGGATGGAGCTGGCTCCGTAGAGCTCATTGTCTCAAGAGTATCACCTGCTGATTTCCTTGGAGTCTTCTCGGCCCCTGCCTTCCGGTCAGGGATGGCTGGGAGAAGCCAGAGTGTGAAGACTCCCTTTGTGTGCGGCTCTGGGTTGCTTTCTGCCACTCTCCCCTCTTTGGGGAGATGTTGATGATGGACCCATGCCCAGTCCTGAGGGGTCACGGATGATGTTCCAGCTGAAGTGTGGCTGTGAAGAAGAGGGCAGGGGGTAGTGCAGGAGCTGGGGGACCTGGGAGTGGGCACTGTCACAGCTGGTTCTGATGTGGAAACCAAATGTGAATCAACCTCTGACTGTTTTTTCTGAAGGCTTGAAAGGAAGCCTGCATGCTGGCCAGCTCCATCTTAGTGGGAAGAAGTAGGGGCATGGTTCTGCAGTGCTCAAGGAGCAACAGATGCTTCCGAGCTGGGGGAGAGAATGAGGGGAATCTCATCTGTTAATTTTCAAGGCACAAGGCTCTGGGCCCTAACATTTTATCTTGTTGGTTGGTGTCAAACCAACTGGACTGAATCAGGATCCCACTGACTCCCCAGTTGTGTCAGCTGAGTGAACAGTTACTGTCGCTAGCAACCATGCGTCCTTCCCAGCTTAGTAGGAACGGCACAATGAAGTATGGGAAGTCTTCAGCATGGCATCAGGCACATAGTAAGCCATGCTTGCCACGACTGCAGTTGTTGTTGGCTAGGGGAAATAAAGAGCCAACGCAGTCATGTTTGAGTTCTGCGAGGGTCTCGTCCACAGCACGACTGTGCATCCTGCATCCTGGCTTAATGAAAATCAGGATGTGGGGACCTGATTTGTGTCCTTCATTGTGAAGGAACCCTGAATCCTAGCTCTGATGCAATCTGTTGTTGCCTTGCTGCACAGTGGAAAGCAGTTCTTCCAAATGTCTCTTGGGAGTGGCAGGAAGGAAGCTGTACTTGGCCTCCTCAGGGAACTCCTTTCAGTTTTTCTTCTTCCCTTTAAACATCTGGGCCTGGTGGCTTTATTTATGCTGGAGAAAGTTGTTACTGTTATAAACTTTTGGGCTTATGGTGGATTGTGCTAGAATTAAGGGTGAGGGCAAATGTGAGGTGAACTTCTTGTAGTACACATGGGTTTTCTACAGGGAAAGGGAACCCTTGTGTGTGGGAAGAGGATGTGGCATTTCAGTATGGCAGTGACCGTGCCCGTCAGCAGATAGCCTAACTAACTGCTGTGTGAACCCTTCCTGTCTCTGAATTCTTTTTTTTTCTTGACAAAATACTAACAAGTACCTGGATATGCAGTATTGTGTAGAGCAACAACTGCTTCAATCCCTAGCCACATACACCTAAGCAACAAATAAGAATGCAGGTAAATTCAGCAGACCCCCATGAGGCTTGTTTTAGATTGCTGCAGGAGAAGGGAGGGGATGCGGGGAGGAAAAACAACAGGAAAAATGTCGGTGTGGAAAGCTGGCCAGGAAAAAAACGTACTCGAATATTCCATTTGACTTGATGGCAATGGCAAATTTGGGTTTTCCTGCCGATTACCGGTGTGAGAGGACCATGTCCCCTGCTGGCTGCTTTCTTATGTCCGTGCTTTAGAAGATGACAGGCGAGAAAAGAACAACTCAAGCTCTTCTAGCTTCGAATGGGGAAGGACAGCTGATAAGTATGACTCACTGAGGACTATTGCTTGCTCCTTTTCCCCTCTCAGGTCCCATACGTAGGCCTCAAACTTACCATCCTGGTACAGTTAAAAAAAACTCAAGTAATTCAACGGTGCTTTAAAAAAGTCCCTTCCTAGCCTAGTACAGGAAGCAGCAAAGCCTGAAAACGAGCACATCACAAAAGAAGAAAGGCTAGTGTCTGTGGACTTCCTGCATTGCCTTTTTCTTCCTCTGTTTTTCTCTCATTTGTTACCTAAAATATCAGGCACACCTGCATAATTTTACCTAACATCACTGTATCTTTTTTTACTTGCATTTGTGTCTGTGTGTGGTGTGTACCTGATAGGTATGAGGAGGGGGGCCTCAGTTATCCTGCTCTATCCCTTTTTGCCTTACTCCTCTGAGACGGGCTTCACTCAGCCTGGAGCTAGGCTGGCAGTCAGCAGGCTCCAGTGAGCCTCCTCTTCTGCTCCCTGCAGTTCTGGGGTTACAGGGGCAAGTGGCTATGCCCAGATTTTTATGTGGGTGCTGGGGATTTGAACTGAAGTCCTTATGCTGTGCATTACATGCTTTTACCCACTGAATATGTCCTTAGCCCACACTTATTTTTCTTTTGCTAATTTTTTTTAGCTGACACCTAATAAGTGTACATATTTAAGAGGTTGTGTGTATCTCATTCATTTAATTTTTTTCATATTACCATGTATTCTTTAACATCTAAAAAGATGAAAAGATACACTTAAGTTCTGCTTTGGTAAACTGTCTTCCCAAATAATTTGTTTAGTTAAGATAGATCATTAACTTTTAGCAAAGATATGTCCTGTCAACGAAGGAACACATCATATTGCATTATTTGAAAATTGTCCACAATACAGGCAAATTTTGTTTTTGATTTTTGAGACAGGGTTTCTCTGTGTAAACGGTCCTGGCTGCCTTGGATTTCTCTATATATCAGGCTGGCCTGGAACTCACAGAGATCTGCCTGCCTCTGCCTCCTGAGTGCTGGGATTAAAGGCAGTGAGCCACCACTGCCTGGCCTCAGGCAATCATTTTTAATCTTTAACTAGGAAGGGGCTCTACTCTGGAGAAGGCCAAATCCTGTGTGTGTAGCTTTCTCCCCTCTTTCCTCTTTCGCCTCCTTTAGTTGTTACTGCTTGTCCCTAAACAGACTGCAGAGTCCCGCCTGCCCCCGCCTGTGTAGTTAAGGAGGGTGACTACTGAAGGAGCAAGAACAAGCCTGGTCTACAAAGTGACAGTCAAGGCTGTTACACAGAGAAATCCTGTCTCGACAATGCCCCCCCTCAAAAAAAAAAAACAAAAAACAAACAAACAAACAAAAAAACAAAATAAAAAACAACAAAGCAAAACAAAATTCTTTACCTTATGGGTATGTATGACTTTTTATAAGACCCTTTTACTTTTCCCAGAGATCAGGGCCATTTCAAACTCTCTTTTTGGGGTATGTGTAGGTAGGTACACAGATAGGAACCAATCTAGAGGAAGTCCTTGAGAAAGCCAAGAGTGAGTGCAGTTTTATCCCTGGCCCTGTTTTCAGTGAGGTGGAGATTTGGGCTGAATTTTCTAGCTGCACTGCTTGGTCAGCATATCTTCTCCCCACAAAAGGTACTGTTGGGAAGGAGCGTATCCTCCTTTCTTTGTGTCTAAATCTTTTTTCTTTTGGTTCAGTCTGAGGTCACTGCTAGCCAGCCTCTAGGTCCCTTTCATGTTGTGTGTGGCCTGTCTGTTCCTCTGCGGTTTTGATGTAGTTCAGTTTTGAGTGCCACAGGAATTCTACCCCGAGTTCATTTATCTGCTGGTGCCTTGTTTTGCATGGAATATGAAAGAGGGAAGATTTTAATTAAGTAAAATGTGAGTTTGTGACTCTCAGTGTGTTAAAGTCACATTAAAATTTGTGATTGGGGTGTAGGTAGGGGAAAGTAGAGCCAAAATTAGACTACCTTTTATTAATCTGTCCATTCATGCATCCATCCATCCATGTATCCATCCATCCATCTATCAGTCTGCCTGTCTTTTATTTGTCTACCCACTCAGGCGATCATTATATGAATGTATAGGCGTTCCTTCTTTAGTGAGTTGCATACAGTAAACTAACACCATCTCTGACACATGTAAAATCAGTGGAGCCATCACTCTTGGAACACAGAGCCTAACTCTTCCTAGCTGTTTTATCTATGCTTAGGAAACATTGGAGACCATCTCTCGTCTCTCTCTATGAAATGTAAAACGAATCTGACTGTTCTTAGTTTTCACAAAGGTGAAGAATGGCTTAAGTGCGTGTGTGTGTGCACTCGCACAAACATGGTTGTGCGCTCCTGGGCATGAGTGTGTATGTATGTTCTATGTGTAAATACAAAGCAGCCGAAGAGAATCACGCTTGTTTTGAAATCCGTTAGCTGTTTGTGGGCTGGACCGGTTGCACTGGCCCAAGTCAGCTGTTTGGGAATGAGTCCTGTTTCCCCTACCCCATCTCTCTCCTTTGCTGTTCCTCTCAGTGTGCCTGGACATTGAAAAGTGCTTGCTGATTGCTAGTTTTGCCAGTAGCAGAGTGGGCTAGGAGTGTCTGCTGTATTGCTTCTTGCCATGAGAAGCTCATGGCAATTTTCTCGGGCTGAAACACTCTAGAACAGAATTTCTGCACCCTGTCTCCATAGAGGAAATGCTTTCCTTTCATAAGACAAACCAGGCCAGTCTGGGACACACAAGGCCTTTTTTCAAAACAATGTAAACAAAAAGAAAATCAAACCCTTCCAATCCCAATCTCTTGTCTCTGTCCTCTGCTTTGGGGGTGTGTCTGTACTCTTTAAGGCCGGAAATGACCTCTTTTTTATTGTGTCTCTGCTCACGGTGTACACTTAGTCTATTGTTAATAATAAGTGTTGTAAGCTACAAGGCAAATGGATGAGTTATTTCAAGTCATTCAAAATGGGTAAGGCTTGAATCCTTAGTTTACAGTCGCTGTTAAAGAAAGACTATTTCTTCTCCTTGGGCAGATATCATAAGTTAGAAACTTTGGCAGAAACCTGAAAAGTCACTTGCTGCATTGAAGTTGACAGGGGCACCCCAGGTGGCAAATGTTGGGCTGGCAGAGCAGTGCTCTGTCTTGAATCTGTCTGTGGGTTTTTGGATACCAGCTGGAAATCCTACCTTTCTGATTAGCTTCATGCCTGGCAATTCTAACGGTCTAGCTCAAGTTAAGGTTTTTCCTAAAATTTCTGTCCTGCTGTGTTTGAGAGAAATTAGAGGATACTAATTGTTTTGAGCTGTGTCACCCTGTAAAACACTCATTAGACACATGTGGCCATTTTAATGAAAATCATTAAAACTAAAAAAAGTCAGGTTTTCAATCTCAGTAGCCCCATGGCCTAAGTGAAAAAATGGCCCCGTGTAGCTTGTTGCTGCCCTGTTTAAGAGCCAGTTTAAATGCTCAAATTTCCTTAAAACAAAACCTGGACTAGCATGCAAGCGCAGGAGATAAAGACACTTGCCTCCAAGCCTGACGATTTGAGTTCCGTCCTTGGAACCCGCACGGTGGACTCATGGAAGTTGTCCTCTGAGCTCCACACAACGCCCTGTGGGGTGTGCGCCCCCAGTACGCATGCTCACACACAATAAATCCGTTAAAATGTAACAACAGTTAGAAGCCTTGGCCAGGTTGTTTTTTTTTTTTACCTCTGGAACTGTCCATTTGTGTGTTGGTGGTTTGTGGCCAGGAATGGCCTCACACAAACTCAGACCCTTGCATGGTCCTCCGTCAGTGCCTAGCAATGTTTGCTCTAGTAAGAGAAGAGGGGCAGCTGGTGCAGGTCTTTTACTGTGGGTTGACTAACTCAAGACGGGATGGAAAACAGTTTTCCATTTCTGCAGAGCCTGGTTATTCAGCCATCCAGCCAGGAAACACTGAGCTGTGCTGAGCTTGGAGTTTATAGACATAAATAAGGCAAGGCCCCTGCCTTCACAGAGCGTAGAGTGTGCCGTGGGGAACGGATGCTCAAATCCAAAAGTGTAATGATTAGGTAAGTATATAATAATAGAATTGTAACTGTACAGAGCTACAGAGCTAAGAACAAGGCTCAGTCAATAAAGTGTGCCTAGAAAACCAGGGGGTTCCATCCCTGGCACCCCATAAACTGGTTGTATCAGCTCATGCCTGAAATCCTAAAACTCAGGAATGAGGTTCAAGGTTATCCTTGGCTACGCAGCATGGCTGCCCTAGGCTATATGAGGCCTTGACCTGAAAAACCCCAAACAACAGCAACAACACACACACAAAACCTGGACCCAAAGGAAAAAATAACATGATGTACAAGCAAAAACAAATACGTGGGTTTTGGACTTGAACTGTTTGTATTAAGTCTGGATAAGGGGGTTTCTGCTACCTGGTCCTTGAGAAAACCAAGGACCAGACACTGGACACAAGCTTATGTAAGCCAGCTTGTTCTATGGAGCAGATATTGCCAAAGGTGCAGTGATTTGTGTTTTGGTGGTTTGGTAGCTGACAGAAAGGGACGTGTGTGGAGTGAACCTGCTTGCCCAGCACACTTGGCGTGTGATGCGTGAGTCCAGTCACCCTCTCTCCCTGTCTCCCCAGCTCTCTGCGCCATTGTTGCCACCATCTGGTTCCCTGTGTGTGCCCACCGTGAGATCACCATCGTGAGCTTCGGCTACTCGCTGTATGCGGGCTGGATCGGTGCTGTGCTGTGCCTGGTGGGTGGCTGTGTCATCGTCTGCTGCTCTGGGGACGCACAGTCATTCGGAGAAAACCGTTTCTACTACTCTTCTGGCTCCAGCTCGCCAACACATGCCAAGAGTGCCCACGTCTAAGAGGGCGGCTCCACTGCCCACCGAGGTGCTGTAGATGCTGGGCCTGGGGCCCCGGGTTTGCTCGCCACAGTGGGGAGAAGCCCACTCTCCTGCCAGGCACTAAAACCAAAGGTCTAGAACGTATCCTGCCTGGCACTCCGCAGTCGTAACCCAGCCCACCCCACCACTTCTTGGCTGCCTTAAGAAATCTCCAGCTCAGATAATGCCCACCTAGTTTTCTCATGGTGTAGCTGGCCGTTAGCTCTTTCTTCGGGCATTCCATTGTTGTTGATTAAAAAAAAGATATTTTGTTTCTCTCTTAAATTCAGATGTCTTGGGAGCCTTTCTGACGTGGGTGTGGACTGGGAGAGAAATAAAAGACACTTTTCAAATGCTTACCAACGACAATGGAAGCTTCCTAGAGATACCGCTCTGTTTTTCTCTCGCCTCTTAGTTTCAAGGTCACTTACATATAAGATATAGAAAAGGATAGACTCGGGAACACTGGTGGGAGGGGAACCTCGGGACTTTCTCTCTGTGGGAAAGCTTCCCTTTTATAAGTTGAGGGGTTGGGACTCTTTTTTTAGTTTGTGATTTTACATTTTTCTGTACATACTTCTTCAAGATTGATCATTTTTTTATAACCATGGGTTTCCTGAAATTCTCAGTTCACCAGTATGAAGGAAATGAACCAAACAGACTTTAGTTATGCAATAAGTAACAGTACAAAGATTATAACTTTAACTGACCGTCCACCCGTTCCAGGTTTGTATGCTGTAGTTTTTAATTCTACAGTTGCACATACTTCAGATTAACACATTTTAAAACGTTTTCTCCCCTTCTATCTCCGTCTCCTTTCTGTTAGCGCTCTTGAGGCAATGTTGTTTAACATAAGTTGTACTGTTGAATTTGGCTTCCTGGGTGTAAAAACTGATGCTCTGTCAGTGTCTGACTGGACACTGCAAGCACAGTCGGTGCATTTGTTCAGGTAAAATCTGTGCAATAAAATAACAAACTGTCTCCAAAGCTGCTCTTTAGTCTTCTGTTGAATCAGAGTATTGTCTGATTAAAAAACAAACAAACAAACAAACAAACTCCACAAGTTAATTTCTGATCACTGAGCTAAGAACAGATCATCTGGGGTCGGGAGGTGACGCAGTCCATAAAATGTTTAAGGTTAAGGTAAATGGTTAAGGATGAGGATCTGAGTTCAATTTTCACCAGCTAAGGAAAAGTTGGTAATCCCAGTGTGCTCTCTCTCCTTCTCTCTCTCTCTCCTTCTCTCTGTACATGGTGTGCATGTTGTTTGTGAGTGTGTGGTGTGTGTATGTTGTGTGTGAGTGTGTGTGTGGTATAGTCAGGTGGATCCCTAGGGAGTCTGGACAATTGAAGAACTCCAGGTTCAGCGAGAGACCTTATTTTAAAAATACAAGATAATGAGTCTGACCCAGGGGTTCACACCTTTAATCTCAGAACTCGGGAGGCAAGGGCAGGGGAATCTCTGTGAGTCTAGCTTCATCTGCAAAGTGAGTTTTAGGACAGCCAGGGCTACACATAGAGACTGTGTCTTAAAAATGAAATGAAACAAAACAGACAACAAAACATATAAGAGTGGTTGGAAAAGATATTTGACTTTAACCCGTGGTTTATGCACACACAGAGTGAGAGAGAGGAGACAGAGAGAGAGAACAAATGAGTATGAATTGCTCTGACTGGTTAGAAGTTATTCTTTATTCACTATATCATGGTGATAGTGTAGTATCATAAAATATAGCCTAGTTTTCTTTGGTTTCTTAAATGTGACTTTACTGCCCCTTGTGTCAGGGGAAAACATGTAGCCACAAGAGCCAAATTTCAAGCACAATGCAGCCCAACTACTGCTTTGAACACTTGATGAAAGGATTGGCTAAGTCTGGAAGGAGATGTGAACAAATTCATTTATTGGGTTTTAGTTGTAATACCTCCGTGTGTTTTGTGCAAACACAAGACCATTTGGACAAAGACATATTAAGGTTTTATTTTCTGTTTCAGAAACTGTTAGGTTATCAGCTCTGCTCTGAAACACCAGGTTACAATGTATTTTGGCTTCCAATACCCCCAATTATTCTGGCTTGGGAGATGGCTCAGTGGATAAAGTGCTTGGCGTGCAAGCCTGGAGATCTGAATTCCAAGCTCCAGAACCCATGTAAAAGCTGGAGGCAGCAGTGCACCCATACCATGGGACTGGAGGCGGAAACAGGACAACCCCGGAAGCTTGTGCAGCAGCTAGCCGCGGTGAGCAAGAGAGAGGCAGGCTCAAACAGCAAGGTTGGCAGAGAGGAAGGATAGCTAGGGTTGTTCTCTCTCTCTCTCCCCATCGCACACTGTGCTCCCCTACACACACACACACACACACACACACACACACACACACACACAGCTTAAAAACACTAATTTCATTAGTATAGCTTACACTTAAGACTGACTAACATTCTCTCTGGAAACAGCCATGCCAAAATACCACAGTAGAAACTATTTCTACGTCGGTCTCCTTCATGTTAACAGAAGTGTTTGATTTGTTATGCTCAGTGTTTTCAGGACTCATGCTGGGGACACTCTTCCCCACTGTACTTGTCAGGGTGTTAGGGTTATGAAGGTGAAGGACAGACAGCCTGTTCGGAGAGTAGGCAAGACACACCTGAAGGCCTCCTGTTCTCAACCAGCCTGAAGCAACAGCATCAAGCAAGGTGTTCTTTTTCTTGGGGACTTGTGTTTTTCTCTCCTGGATCTCTTTTTCTGAGGGGGCTGCTTGCCTACTCCTCGGGAGGGGAGTGTGTTACCTCTGTAGCATGAAAAGGGAGACTTCAAGTCTGTCCTCCATGCTGCTGCCTGACCAGCTGAGGAGCTCATCTTGCAGGTCACACCTGCAGTGTTAGGGCTCATTGTCAGTGTGAGGTAGGAGGCTAGATGATGTTTGAGAATGCTGCCATCGGACGGGAAGCTGTAAACCATGTCTGACCCTTGAAAATTTCTGATAGCCACATTAAAAGGAAAAATAAACAAGTGAAGTGAGTTTTTAATATATTTGGTTGAATGTAGTTCATCTAAATTATTCTCATTTCGGTATGTATGCAGCTCTCAGAGTCTCCAAAATGTTCTCTTGGCATTAGGATTTCGGGTTTTGGTAGGTCGTATTCTTCCAGCACCTATCAGTTTGGACCAGCCATTTGGCAAGGGGTGAGCCGTTAGAGGATAAGAGGCCATTGGGCTGGCTAGCCCAGCCGTAAAACAGTAGGCTCTGTCTCTGTAATCCTAAAAGGAATTCAATTTTATTTTATCTGCGCTCCTTAGAGTATTTTTTTGGCATGTGGCCAGCACACTTCTTTTGAACGGTGACCCCCACTCCCTGCCCACCTCTCAAGCACACCCCAAATATACCTTCTACCTAACCCACACCTCAATATACCTTCTACCTAACCCACACGGGGCAGGGAGCCATGTTCCTGAGACCTGGTCCTGTCAGAAACTTCCCGTCTTTAATCCTCCTCACGGGCCTGCTGTTTGGATGAGGAAACGAGAGTGGAGCGTTTCCGTGGCTTGTGAAGGCCAAGTACCCCACTCTGTTTGTACAGAGCTGGGAGGGATTTAAGCCTTCACTCCACACCTAGAGACCTCATCGCTCTAGGGGGTCGGTATTTCCTTTCCTCTCCCCTGTCCTGAGTGGGGACATTTTTGTGTACTGCCCGGGTGGCCGCCATAACACACTTTGAGGAGCACTGAGCTGACAACCGTTTCCTCATGTTTTCCCGGAGTGCAGAAATCTTGTCCTTTGTCCCGTCTGTGATGGTCATTGGAGATCGGATGATTTTTGAGGGTGAGACTATCAGCTCTCTCTCCAGCCTGTTCTGAATAGACAGCATGGAGGGACCTTTGCGTTGAAAATGAACCGGTTCTGTTCATGCTTTCCAAGAACTTGACAGGAACCAAACCTAAGAATGTTTCCAGGGAAGCACTGGATTTGGAGATGCTGGTGACAAGGCTGGGACAGAAGGAGAAGCCTGTGAGCTTGGAGAATTCGAGTTGCACGCTCGTGCTGCGCCGGGGACTTGGTGAAACAATAGAACAAGGTCCGGCTCTGTCTTGTCCTGCCTCTTTTCTTGTTTGAGTTAGGAATAATCTGCGTGTCAGTGTTTCTCTATACAATGTACACAATCTTAAATGTTTGGCAGGACATTCGTGCTCATGACATCACATGCTGGGAGGACAGGGAGGCCACTGTGGGGCCGGCCCTGGGGAGAGGCAGCATCAGGACAGCCTTTGAGATGGCCCCACAAAAGAGTGTGTGACAGCCAGATGTGCGGCTTCACGGAGACTGAGGCGGGATTGTGGGAGGGACATTGGCACATGCTGCTCGTGGCTTGAATAGCAGCTCTTGAGGAATCTATATTTCTGTGGCTCATGTATACGCAGAGCTCAGGCACCGCGGCCGTGTCTGGGAGAGTGAGAGGAGACGGGGGCACTTGTCACTGCTTCATGTCCCCTTGCAGAAACGAAACTTGTGGGTGTTCGAGGCCGTCCTTAGAGGACTGTGGAGGGGGAGTACCACATGCAGGGAAGCTTCGGAAGAGCGGTGGCACCCATCTGCCCCCTTAGGACTTTTCTTTAAGTTAGAACGGGTTCATCTCTCTCTTAGGCTGGGTTACCTGTAGCTCCGCTGTGAGTCTTACTAAAAATGAAGATTCTGATCTATCCATGTGTTCAGGCCCAAGGTTCTGCATTCCTTGAAAAACAAAAAAAGGATGGAAACTCTCATTTTTCATTTATTTACCTGTGTGTGGTCACACGCATACCATACCATAAGGTGCTGATAGTGCATTTCTAAGAGGTTTTCAGAATGTGCTGGTGCTGCCGGTCCATTCTGGCACCTGGGGCAACCATCCCACAGGCCGTCCTGATTCGGGTACATGACGAGGGTACCTCGTCTACACGAGTGATGGGAATCATCCTGTGCCTTTGCGGGCTGATGATTGTGGGGCAGAATCGTTCACTTGAGCTCAGGACCTTCATTCCTCATCAAAGCATTAAGAGCCTGTAGGACAACTCATGACAGCTGGCTAGTTAAACTCTAAGAATCTTGTGTGCCGGTTCGTGTCACCCAGTAGCTTGGTAACAGCTGTGGTGGATACTCATACTCAACACTACAAATGAAGCATTTCGTCCCGCAGGCTCCCGCTCTCCGGGTAATCTTCAAACACCAGCCCACTATAGGACGTCTCTGAGTGTATCACACCTTACCTGTGAATGATGCATTCCAGTTTTCCTTAATATAAAGGAAGGTAGGGAGGACAAGGAGAATGTGAGGAAACTGAGGAAAAGGGGATGAGCTGGTTGTTACATTGCAGTTGTGTCCTCGTCTCATATTGAGTGTGAAGGCATCAGTGGCCTGGGCATGTAAGGCAGTACTTTTCCTACCTTTTTTTAAAAAATTAATTTTATTGTTTTATATTAATCACAGGTTATTTACTTTGTATCCCAGCCACAGGCTCCTCCCTCATTCCCTCCCAATCCACCCTCCCTCCCTCATCTCCCTGCCGCTTTCCAAGTCCACTGATAGGGGAGGTCCTCCTCCCCTTCCATCTGACCCTAGCTTATCAGGTCTCTTCAGGACTGGCTGCTATGTCCTCCTCTGTGGCCTAGCAAGACTGTTCTTCCCTTGAGTGGGGGGAGGTAAAGGAGCCAGTCGTTGAGTTCATGTCAGTTCCTGTTTACTTTACTAGGGAACCCGCTTGGTTACTGAGCTACCATGTGCTACATCTGAGCAGGGGTTCTAGGTTATATCCTTATATAGTCCTTGGTTGGAGAAGATAAACAAGAAAGAGGACCCGGAGTAAGATGATCAATCCTCACTTAGAAAGACAAATGGGATGGACATTGGAAGTAGGAGAAAACAAGAAACAGGACAGGAGCCTACCACAGAGGGCCTCTGAAAGACTCTACCTATCAAAGCAGTTGCTGAGACTCATAACTAAACCTTTGGCAGA